GTTTTGTAAGCAATACCAAATTATGCATAAAACAGGAATTCCCTATAATCCCCAGGGACAGGCAATGGTAGAAAGAGCTAATCGAATCTTAAAGACTCAATTACAAAAACAAAAAGGGAGAGAGGGGTATTATCCTACTCCACAGAATCAGTTAAATCGTGCCCTTTACACTTTAAATTTTTTGAATTGTGACGAAGAGGGTCGCACAGCAGCGGAGAGGCTTCAAGCTCCTGCTGCCGTGGCATCTGCCGGTGTGGCACGATGGAAGGACTGACAAACAGGGCGGTGGAGAGGGCCAGATCCAGTAATGATGTGGGGAAGAGGCCATGTTTGTGTTTTCCCAGAAGGCGCCTCTAACCCCACCCGGGTGCCAGAGCAAGCAGTGCGTCACCACCATGGACCTGGGAGAACAGCTCATCCCGCCGTTCAAGAAGCTGAAAATCACACCCCCCATGATGAGGCCAGTTCAGCCACCGACCCCGAAGAAGGAGCTCGGGAAGCAGTTGACCAAGGCCACCCGAGAAGCTAGTGTCCCCACGTGGGGTCAACGGAAGAAGCTGACCGCAGATGCCCAGCAAGTGGTGAAAGAACAGGGGGTCCAGGTAACCCCTTCCACACTTTTTGTTGCGACGATGGCACTTGTCAGCTGCCAGGTAAGTATGGCTGGCAAAAGAAACTTACTGGAGATATGTTCCAGACCCGCCTCCAACAAACATATAATTCCTTCTTCCCATGCCAGGAGAGTTTGTTGGTAACGCCCTGGCCACGAAAACAGAAAATTTACAGAAAGATCTGTGGCGTTTAGCCACCGCCCTTAATTTTCTTAATTTTACTGGCTCTTTCTTAACTAATAATGTGCTAGGGGGAGGGACTGCGGCATGGAAAGGTTACCGATTGTATTAGGGTCCAAGATCGTGACAGAGAAAAATTGCTAGATTGTCTCAGAAAACAATGTATTATGATTCAACCCAGCCAGGTGTGACTCCGTACTTGTAAAGTTTGTGTGAACCCTGCCAGTGCCAGGAAATGCTTTGTAGTGTTGCAGATAAAAGGCTTTGCTGTACCCTCGGTCGGCACTGCAGGCTGCGAAGCCCCTTACTGAAGGGACGCACTGTAGTCAGCTGGCCAGCTTAATAAAGGCTCCTAAATTTAAATTCTGAGTCGGTGGTCTATCTCGCTGATTGAACCCATAACAATACTAAAGGAGCATGTTCATCGAGCCCTTGCTATGGCTTAAGAGCCTGTGTCCAGCCCCCATGTGCATTAGTAATCGGAAATGTGAACATCACGAGATTGGACACCCATTATGCTGTCCAATGCCATTACTGTATGAAATTATATCTCCGGCAAAGCTGGCAAAAGAATTGCTGGATGATTTAAAAGAATTTAATCCATGGAAAATGTCTGGAGACATCGCCTGGTACCTAATTGGATTCCTTTGTGTACTACTAATCTTATCCTGCTTTTTTTCAGTCATCAGCAAGCCCCTGCGATCTCAAGTCCGAAGGCTCCAACTAGATGTCCACAGACTGCTTTTGAAAAATGAAGACGGGGGAGATGTGGGAGGCCCCCTGCCAGGGAAGGCGCCATGGCTCTCTTTCAAGGCGTGGGCATAGCCCTACCTTGGGGGCATTTCCAGCCAAAAGGTGAGAATGCCTTCAGCTCAACTCTTTAAAGCCTAGGTGCAGGGGAATGGGTTTTTATTATGTAAATCCAGTCAAGCACAGGGAATACCTCCTTTCTCTTGAGTTTTGGTGAAACCTCCTGATATTTGGGGGAATTTGGACTATAAAGTAAACACGCTGCTTTGGCATTGGGTCTCTCTGCCTCTCCGCCAGAAGAGGACAGAAGCCCGCCCAGACCCAGCTTTCCTTTCTATTTCTGCGTCTGTCTTTCATTTCTCAATCCCAAAGCGCCTCTACTTGAAAGAACCAGTTCTCGCTCTCTCTCCGTGCTGGACGCCTGCTGGACACGGAGAAGGGAGCCCCACGCCCCGACACAGTAATTAATGCATTTTTCCCTTTCCAGCGTGACTTTCCAGAAATAAGCAGGAACTGGGTAAAGAACAATGTGGACTCGAGCCTCAGGAAGCCTGGGTCTAGCAGGGGAGGCATGGAATGAATAGTGGCTCCCCAGGCAGGAGAACTTCCGGGATGTGTGTCTGTCCCTCATCGGAAGTTGGTGTGTGTCCCACACATGAGGTGTGGAGTGGTGCCCTAACGTCCATAGGCCTGGACCCTGACCCCAGCTGGTACCGTTTGTCATTTGGGGTGACCCTGAACCCCAAATACTACCCTGGAATCTCCACACTGAGGGAGGGGGTGACTCCCTTCCTTTGGGGATGATTAATGAGGTGGTGTTTAGGAAGTCCCCAAGCAAGTACATTTTCATTCCTGTCTCTCTCCTTGGAAGGAAGCCCTCACCTTCAAAACTTCCTTTGGGTATAACTATGGCTCTAAGGCAGGGGTGAGGAACGTCTGGCCCGTGGGCCATATAAGGCCAGTAAAATCATTTGTCTGGCCCTGCCAGGGCATTAGGGGTGAGTTACTTAAATGTTTGACTGAATAAAGGTAGCTAAATTTTAAGTTGATAATTTTGTGTGGCCCTCAGATGATGTTATAAATATCAAATGGCCCTCGGCAGAGAAAAGGTTCCCCACCCTGTTCTAAGGTGAGGGACAGTCCAAGGAGCAGGGTTCACAAAAGGGCCACAATAAACATTTGTTCTGCCTTTCCCCAGACACATGGCCTGAAACCAGCCCCAATCCAAAGTCCTCCACCAAGGCGTCACTGTCTCCTCCAGCCTTCCCCGACCAGGGCATGAGCATGGTTCACAGCCTGCTTCTTGGGGTCACTCTGGTGTCCCCAGCTAATGCACAGCACTCAGGGAAGGCCCCTGCTTTCATGTTTTCTGTTTCCCCCACAGGGCCAGGCACTGTACCAAGCCCAGAGGTGGCCCTAATAGACATTCTGTTCAATTCCTGCAGAGCCCATTTGGTGCCCCTGTGGAGGAGGCCGAGCTCTGGGTGCCTCCTCAATACCAGCTCCCTCTGTGGGCCCTCAGCCAGCAGGGAAGTGCCCTGGCCCAGAGCCCAGCCAGCCCTCCCTCTGGGGACACAAAAAGGAAAGGAGGCTCCCACTGACTCTGGAACCAGAAAACCGAGTCCAGATTCCTCTGTACACAGAGACTATCGTTTCTGAAATATCTCTGGATGCATCTTTCCCTTTGTGGTCATCCAGCTCCATTTCTCTGGTCCCTTGCAAATTCCTCCTCCAGGGATGAGAGTGTGCAAAAGCGCCCATGGGAACAAGTGGGCACAGTAGGTTAGCAGGTAGGCAGCGGGAGAAGGAGAGAGAAGGGGGTGGAGGTTCAGAGGTGAGGGTTCAGCTTCCCTGCCTCACTCTCCTCGGTGTCTCCCGGAGGCACTCAGGGCTCAGGGAGATGTCACAGGGTGCGTGTGCCTATGCCCACCTGGCAGGGAAGGCGATGGTGGAGAAAGTCCACTAGAATCTACAAGCCGAGATGAGGTAGGGCAGGTCCTGGGATGGTGTGAAGGGATCCAGAAGGTCCCCAGGCCCTGTGCAAGGTGATGAAAGGACCACTGGGGACAAAAGA